CCGCCAGCTGAGATCTGAGCCGCCTCCGAGCCCTCCCACCCTCGAGGAAGGCTCTGCCTGCAGGAGCGCCATCCTTCAGGGCTTCGAGATCCTCCGAGGGGGGAAGACATTAAAAAAAAAAAAAAGCCAGGAGTGCTCTGGAGATTTCCCCGGAGATGGTTTTGACAGGGAGAGGAGCTAAATTCCCCCACCCCCACCCCCGCAGCCTCAGCGTTCGGCTCAAGCCTACGCCGTGCCACCCACTCCAGCGGCAGCTCCGCGCCCCCGCGGGGCGCACAGGAGTCAGACGCTGGTTGGGACACCGAAGTGAGCAAAGGCCAGTGTCGGCAGGGAGGGGGGTGCCTGAACTGCCCCCTCCCCAGATCTCCCGGGGAAGGGGAGAGCACGGTCCATCAGCAGGTCCAATTTGGGCTCGAACGTGCTCCTTGGCCACCAAAACCACCGGCAAAGGTCCCGGACTGACCTTTAACTCGTGCCGTCTTCTTCATGATGATGAGGCCGCCGTCCCCGGAGATGACCACGGTCACCACGGCCCCCGGCTCCCCGTAGCCCCACACCAAGGCCCCCGCCGGCTCCTTCTGCAACACCATGTGGTCACCGTAGTAGGATGCGAAGCCAAGCGTCGCCCCTAGGATCAACAGACAGCGCAAACATCATCTCTGAGAGGCAAAAAGCAATGAGAAAAATCCCCGGTGCAGCCTCCAACTCCCTCTTAAATACAGATTATTTGAGATCCTGCTTAATTTATAGCTTGCTTCAGTCCTGGTCAACCTTATGGTGGTTAAAAATCACCAAGGAGCCGAGGAAGCGGCAGGATTTGAAGTCCCCGAGAGAGCCCAGCCCTGCGAGGGAAGTCACCTCCCAAAGCACGAGAGTTTGGGTACAGATTTCCATAAAAATTCTCCTAATAACAGTATGGAAGAATCCCCACCAGCCCAGTCTTCCTAATAAATATGTTCTGACATATTTTTCCCTTGCAAAAAAATGTTTGGCGAGTGGTGGGATGGGAAACGCCAGGCATGCGGCACTGGCAAAGCAGGGATGGGAACAGAGGTCTCAGCCCTGGCACCCCAAAAGCCCCATTTTTGGGGCGTGAAAATAAAACAACATTTGAAAGGGGGTCAGGGCAACGTTTGCAGGCACGGAGAGGCGATCTGGGCAGCAATCCCTGTTGTAGCGATGAAACTGGGGCTCACAGAGCCCCGTCTCCTCTGCAGCTCGTCCCAGGCTGGGTTTAACGAAGGAAAGAAATTACGTCCTCGGCCTCTCCGAAATCAGCTGCATTGCCGGTCCCACCGTCTCATGCAACGAGGCTCCGGGAGAGGTGAGTTACATAAAAAACCAAGTCGGAGGAGAAAAAAAACCAAAACCACCACCCAAACCGAGACGCCAGGGAAGAGACTGGAGGCTATAAAAAGCAGCTGGGAGGAG